TAGCCCTCACCATCAGGGTATAAACCTCTGGCTTCATAACTAGGTAGTCCTGTAATAGCAATGTATTAAAAGTCTATTGAGAGATCTTTTGGCCCTGTTGTTGAAGAAGTCTAGATAAGTTTATAAGGCAAGGTGTGACTAGGAGGATTAAGAACAGGAGAAAAAGGAGGTTAAGAAGTTTAATAGCCAATTCCATATTGGACTGTCAATGATTCACTGACCAGTGGCTCAAGCTGTTTCTTAACGTTTTTGGAGACCAGTCTGGAGTTGTCAGATCCTATCTTTTGCTATATCTGACTGGTTGTCACAGAAGCTACATTCCTCCTTAAGGAAGAGATAAAGATGACCTGTCTCTGTTTTGGTAAATTTAATCCTAGCCAATTTTGTAGCGCTATGTTGACCAGTGAGTCTATTTTGCCTTGGAGGGTAAGGATGGTCTGAGCCACCCGTTGGAGTTCTGGAAAGGATTCTTTCTTACAGGTACCACTGTAGCATGACTCTTAGAGTCTTATTAACAAAAACAAACCCAAGACCAGTTATTCGAGTGAATGCTGGAAGATCAGAGAAACAGAACAAGCCACAGCTGCCTCACCTTGACAATTCCTCAGCTGATCCTGTTTATTCGAGTGAATGCTGGAAGATCAGAGAAACAAAACAAGCCACAGCTACCTCACCTTGACAATTCCTCAGCTGATCCTGTTTCCTTAGACTGGAAGCTTCTGAGTCCTCATCCAAATGGATCTCAGCTGAACTACTGCTAAAAGCCTAAAAGCTTAATCAGCTCTGGTTCCTGGTCCTCACGCCTTATATACCTTTCTGCTTTCTGCCATCACTTCCTGGGATTAAAGACTTGAGCAACCATGCCTGGCTGTTTCCAGTATGGCTTTAAACTCACAGAAATCTGGATGGTTCTCTGCCTCCAGAAGGCTAGGATTAAAGGTGTGAGTGCCACCATTTTCTGGCCTCTATGTCTGTCTAGTGGCTGTTTTGTTCTCTGACCCCAGATAAGTTTATTAGGGTACACAATATTTTGGGGAACACAATATCACCACATACCACTCCTAATTTTGGAAAAAGGAACACCAGGGTGCAAGTTCCAGATCACCCAGCAGGTAGGCAGCAGTAAACCTGATTGCTGCAGAGGATGAAGGCATTTTTGTAGATGTAACCAACCGTCTTATTAAATAAGAAACACAGAGCCGATTCAGAGAAGAAAGCCAAGAGGTCAGAGCTAAGAGCCTTACCCTTCCTGCTTCAGCGATCCTCTTCAGCCAAGAGAGCTCTCTGAAAGGGAGCTACTTCCTGTGTGTTTGTCTTTATATAGTCTTTCTGTTCTGCCTTCTCATTGGTTGTAAACCCAACACATGACTGCCTCGTCACTGCCTGTCTGTAGAGACTTCCAGGTCTTCTATGGTTGGTATTGAGATTAAAGGCGTGTGTCTTCAATGCTGGCTGTGTCCTTTTACACACAGAGATCTACCTAACTCTGTCTACCAAGTGCTGGGATTAAAGGCGTGCACCACCACCGCCACGCTCTTGCTATGGCTCTAATAGCTTTGACCCCCGGGCAACTTTATTAACATTAAAATCACATTTCAGTACAAATAAAATACCACCATACATTTTAAACATTCAGACACAAGGGCTGGCTCACAGTGCTCAAAGTCAAAGCATTATTATTGTCTGAGGGGTTTAAATAGTCTGTAGTACTGAAGAGAGAGATAGGGGAGATATAAGGAGTAGTATGGTAATTGGCTCAGAGAAGTTAATGAGAGGCAAGGTGGTTGTATGGGTTTCGATTCAGGTTCACAAGAGTCATGGGAAGAACACACAGGGCATCTTAAGGATTTCTTTAACCTTCCAGCTGCAGGAGGATTCAGCATCTTTGTGGACTGAGACACCTTCCCTTAGCCGAGGGCATTTTTGCTGTTCTCCAAGTTTACATCTTTTATTTTATTTATTTATTTATTTTTAGCTTTTCGAGACACAGTTTCTCTCTGTAACAGTCTTGGCTGTCCTGCAACTCACTTTGTAAACCAAGCTGGCCTCAAACTCACTGAGATCCACCTCTGAGTGCTGGGATTAAAGTTGTGGGCCACCACCACCTGCCCCAAATTTATGTTTCTAGTAAGTTGATTTCCATATCCTTAAACAACCTCCAAAGGGACAATGCTAAGTGCATATACTCAATTAAGGAATATCACAGTGTGCTGGATTTTTCCCAGACAAGTTTTGCATAGGTTTTGTACCCTAGGGAAACTCTGAGACAAGATTCACATAGAGGTCAACAAAAGAAACAAAAAGTAACTGAGAAACAAGAGATAGATAAAGGCTAGGTGCTAGCACTTTGGAGCCAGGCCAGATGTAACTCAATGGGAATTCTCCTATCACAGGTAAAAAGATCTCGTAGTCCAATGGGTGAGTCTACAAATGGTGGTCAAGAGTTGAACCTGGGAGTTACACACAACCAGCAGTCTCCAAAGTGACTAGGCAGAGTGATAATCAGAAGCTGATAAGCAATTAGGACAGTCCAGATTTGTCCCATGGTATTTGCATGACTGATATGAGTACCCGTGTAAGTTTCTGGCCACTGTTTACGGTAATCTTCCTTTTGGTCATAGGGAAAACCAGCATAGAAGGTAAGCACCAGTGAAAGAGAGTTGTAGGGGGCTGAATTAACCTTGACAGACTGATAGCAATTTCCTGACACCATTAGGATGGGTTGTTGAGTCTCTTGGACATTAAATATCCATAAGAAACAGCACATGTAAATAGGAAGGAATAGAGGAGGAGAGAATATTAGATACAAAAGATTTTCATGTCATTTGTGCGTTGGCAGAAATTGTCAACATTGAAAGTCCAGCATGTCAATTTTAGCCTTTGAATTGTACTGAGGCCACACTATAGTAACAGAGGAAGGCTTTAATAATACCTGAGTCCATTGAGAAGAGAGGCAGGGTTGCAAAACCAACTCCACCCAAAGAAGTTTCTATATGTTCTAAGTAGGAGCTGAGAAGCAAGAGGAAACTCCAGCAGGGAATAAGTTCTGAGACTTTCAAGACAGAGCAGAGAGAGTTTGTCATTGAACTATTCAGCTTACTTAGCCTCTCTGCTTATGTTTCTTTCTAGAATCTCTGTTCTGTTCAATTTTCTACATGGTTCTTTATTTGTAGGACCATACTGTCTGTATCTTGTGCCTCTTTTATGATATATGATCAGATCCTGTGATGCCCCAAGAAATACTCCTTCTTGGAGATCATTTTAAAATTTGTGATGTTCCTGTGTCGATGTAACTATTTCCATATGTACATTTGTGGAAAATACCAGTATTTCCCTTATAGGATTGCAACAGTTCTGCTAATTGCTGTTAGTAATGTAACCATGTGCAGGATAGTTTTATGTCAACTTGACACAGGTTAGAGTTATCAGAGAGGAGAAAACCTCAATTGAGAAAATGCCTCCATAAAAATTGGCTACAGGGTATTTTCTTAATGAGTGATTGGTGAGGAGTACATAGTCTATTGTGGGTGGTTCCATTCCTGGGCTTGTGGTCGTGCCTTCTATAAGAAAGCAGGCTGAATAAGTCATGGGGAACAAGCCAGTCAGCAACACTTCTTCATGATTTCTGCATCAGCTCCTGCCTCCTGGTTCCTGCCATGTTTCAGCTCCTGTCCTAACCACCTTCAGTGATGAACAGTGACATGGAAGTGTGAACCAAATAAGCTATTACCTGTCCAAGTTGCAATTGGGTCATAGTGTTCCATGGCAGACATAGAAAACCTCACAAAGACAAACCATATATACCATTTTGTTCATCAGTCAATATGCATGGAAGTCCATTTCTTTGCATACTATTTTTCATTTTTCTTCTGAATTCTTAATTTCTTCATAGAAGTAAATTCATCATTATTTAGCATTACTCTTAAGTCTTTGGGAAGCAGCCTGAATGTCTTTAATTTCTTTGCAAATTGTCTTATTAATAAATAGGAATGGTAGTGATGTTTGTTAGTTTTATTCCTTTTAATTATACAAAAAGCACTTATCAAATCTAAGATTTTCCCATGGTGAATGTGGCAAGTTTTGTTTGTGATCACATCATCATTAAAAAGGAATTTGATGACTTTCCTACCTGTTTATCCTTAATTTTTTATTCAGATTTCTCCAGTTAATAAGACTGGATATAGTATGCACCTTCCTCTCCTTACGGTTTTCCAGCTATTCATTTTTCCTGTTGTACTCTTGGCATTGGTGCAGCACACTTGTCCTTTACTTTGTTCAGCTGTATTCCATTTCTTCCTGTTACCTTTAGGAGTTTATCATAAAATCTATTGGTTTGTCTTATGGCATTTCTTTTTTTTTTTTTTTTGAGCTGAGGATCGAACCCAGGCCCTTGCGCTTGCTAGGCAAGCGCTCTACCACTGAGCTAAATCCCCAACCTGTCTTATGGCATTTCTATTCTACTGGGATTTTCATATCATGGGGCTTATATTTGTTATGTGATTTTTTTTTTTAATATTCTGGTTGGTAATATTACTGGTACTAATTTGTTTCATTCTAGTTAGAAATGGTAGTTTGATAGTTTTGCTTGTTGAACAGTTTGTTACTCCCCAACTGTCCTCTATTCATTAATTTCTTATATAAAATGCATTATTTCCTGTGTTCTCATGGATAATTTCTCGGATTTTTCTGTCTACACTTTGCCTCTAATGATGGTTTGCAGTGTTGCTTGATTGGGTGACCTGTGCTGTTTTATAACCTTCTTTATGTGTCCTTTCTTCTCCAAGAATTTTAAGAGCTCATTTTTTCTGGATGCAATGATAAGGTTCATAGTCATTTTCTTTCCCCATTCTAAATGTGTTCTTTGATTCTCCCCTATGTATAGGAATGTTGAAAAGTTTTCTGGTATCATTTTGGTTTTAAATCCTTTTATGTGGTTTGGCATTATCCATAACAGAGTTGTATTAATTTTAGCTTTGTATTTTTGACATCTTGATGTGAAGTTTCAATAAGAATTCCAGTCTTTGTTTCTGAGAGAGAAACTGAGAGAAGAGCAACAAGAAGAATGAATGCTTCTGTGATAAATGCTCCCCAGGTCAGTGTCATGTCCACATTTCTTTTAAATTGTTTTTATTATTGAATCCATTCAAGATGTTAATTTCTCAACCTCTGGTAATGTTGTCTAAAGTCTTTATTTTCTATGATTTTTCTTTGTTTTTTTTTTTTTTCTCTGATAATCAAGATTAAGTCTTTAGATCATTCATCTACATAACACAACCTGGTTCCATTATATTTTCACTCTATTTTAAACTGAGGACATAAATTTTCATGGAATTAATACCTGCCATTCTGAAAGAGAATCTATTCTAAATGGTGCTCATAGAATATATTGATGGCCAGTTTCTACATAGAATGGTCTTGTGTCCTTTTATATTCATGAGGAAGAAAGGTTTCATGTGCCTCATAGATTGCATTTCTTGGATGGTCAGGTTTCCAGAAACATGCTTATGAATGTTTACATGCAAATACATTGACCTTCATCTTTCACTGACATCATTGAGCAATTTATGCAAAACTACAATCAGAAGAGACTCACTGTCTTGAATCCAAATAGTAAATACTACAGCACCCTAGAGAGTACATTGTGGAAAGAATAATGTATCTTTCTCTTTCCACAAAATTGATTTGTTGGTGAGGATCCTGGTTTCTCTTTTTGGCATTTTATATCAGTTGACACCTGAAATCTGTCTCAGGAAAGGTTCTGTATAGTTCTCAGTAGTAAGTTCTCAATAGACAGATGATTATTTTTCTGTTTCTCTTTTTACTTTTCATAAGGGTCATATGCACTACTGTCTCCACCTTTTAATTCTATCATGTGAAATATATTACTAAGAATTTTCTAGACAGCATTGACTTGTTGCTGTGCTTCAGGCATCAATTTTCAAGCATCAGTGGATGTCCCTCTTAATTACTTTGCTGTCTTTCTTTTTTGGAGGAAGAAAATTCCTTCCACCCTATGCTTTCCCTCTCCCTGAAGCTAATGTTTTTGGGGGGGTAGGGAAAAAATTTTTAAGAGTAGTGGTGATGATTCTATTTCTTTCTTTACAATAATATCCTATGTATGTACAGGATTGTTCATATGCATATTTTTATGTACACTGCATGATGTATTATGCTACTGGATGCCTGTGGTTGACACCAAACCCTTGGCACTGAATTCAGGCATTGTCAGGAGTTGCCATGTGTGTAGAGATTAAATTATGTTTATCTTCAGAAACAGCAAGTGCCTTTAACCTCTGAGTCATTTCTCCAGACCACAGGTTTACATTTTTGTGCACATTTGTGACAAAGACAGTATATAACCTTGCATCTTCTAGTTTTCAACAGTGAAGAAAGAATTACAGGTGATAATTATCTATGCAACGTAAAATACTGCTAAATGAATGAGCTCTAATACTGAAGAAATAAGTTGAAATTAGAGGACTCAAATTTTCCAGTGATCCAATCTCATGATAAATAATATATCCAAAATTAATGAAGTTAGTATGATCATCACTCAATTTAATACATTATTTTCATTCACAGAAAATTTTACTACTTCATTTAAATGCATCGTCACATGTCATTTATTTACACTCATCCATTCTATAGTGAAATGGCATATAGAATTCATTGAATTGTTATAATCTGTATTATTTGTGTCTACTTTAGAAATATTTAAATAATATTAATACCATCTAATGTGGACGTTTCAGTTTGCTTCATGGTTGTGAAGATATTCTCATAAAATAACTTCACAAAGTATTTGATTCTGTGTGTTGTTTGGGATGTTGAATGTGTGCATTGATGTTACAGTGCTTACTCTTTAAAGAAAAAGCTCTTATTTTAATTCACCCATGATTCCTGCACTCTGTATTCTACCTGTTTGTTCTAGAAAAGGTGTAGCACCATACCTGTGCCTCAGGATCTGAATTGAGCATTTTAGAATAGAGTAAGGTGAGACCCAGCCACAAATAGGATCGATCTAGTGGTCAATATTTGAGCAAGGTCAGCAGTTGTAGAATTTGGGAAAATAGTTTTGTTCATCATAACTTGACCATCAGAAATGTGACACTAGGGTCCTGTTTGATATGAACATGTAAAGGTACATTCCACCCTCTAGTGCTTAAATGCATATATTATATAGCCTAAAAGTTTACTGATTTTGAAGCTGTTATGTTGTCCTGTTTTCACAGGGATTAAAAATACAGTAAAGACTATGACTATTTTACAAAGTATCTCTCATTAAAATTAAATATTATGTTTGTCAGTATATTTGCCTGAATGTATGTATGCATGATATGTATGCCTCCTACCTGTAAAGTTCAGGTGAGTGCATTGGCTCTTATAGAACTGGGGTTAAAATCTGTTGTATAGTATTATACATTGTCTACCTAAAAGCAACAATGCTTAACTTCTGACACATCTCTACAGAATTTCTGTAATACTTTTGTCATTGATTAATTGCTATGCTTCATGTGCATTACGAAACTGTCTCTGATTCTTTAGATATCTTTTATCTAGGAAAGCATTTTGTGCAGAAGTACATGATAATTAGGAGATTTTCCATTACAGAGTCAATTAACATTCAGGGATGTGGCTGTGGACCTCTCACAGGAGGAATGGGAATGTCTAGACTGTGTTCAGAGGGCATTGTACATGGATGTGATGCTGGAGAATTACAACAATCTAGTCTTTGTAGGTAAGAATGTTCTTCTACAATTCCTGATTCATCCTTTGTATTTACATACTTTGTGTATATGTAAACTCTTTGAACTGTGTAGAGACTCCCAACACTAAGGGAAATTCTGGGTATCAACAAACCTTTTTTCATGATGTTTCCTTTTCATTTTTCTGTGTTCTCTGGAAGAGTAACCAAATGTTATATACTGTGTAATCTCTCTAGCCCTCTTATGTAGTTTTTGATGAAAACTTCAAAATTTAAAAAAAGTTGTATATTCAGGGCAAGGAACAATATTATAGTACACATAATAATTGGAATATTTTGATTTTACTATTAAAGTACTCATTTCTGATTTTAAAAAATTCAGTTGGTTATAAGTAGAGAAAGAGCTGTTGGTTGTGAGAATGTTGTTCTTTTATTTAATTTTTGAAACATGGTCTCTCTGTGGAAAATTCCTTTCCACCTCCTCATGCCTTAAAACACCATGGAAAATTCAAAGGGAACCAACTGCCACAGCATGATTTTAACCTAGCACTTTGTATACTGAAGCAAGAGGGTATGTTGAGTTCCATATCACCATGGGTTTTATATTGAGCTCCTAGCTCAGCAGTTCCTCACAGTGTGACTCTGTCTTAAAATCATAAACAAGAAAATAGAGGATCATTGTTCATATGATCCTTTAGAGAGCTCCCTTGTCCAAGTTCTTTATTACTTGATCACCCGTTTGTCCTGCCTTCTGCGAGGTACAGTGTGGATAAGAATGAGAAACTTATTATTGGTCCCTGTGGTTTTATATATATCAGATTGGAGGTTCTTAGAGCTTCCATTTAATGATTGTGAACCAGAAATTCCTCTGCTGGGAGCTTAATCCCTGAGAATTTCTTTATGTGTCTTAGAAAACATCACTTATTGAATCTTTAATTCATGCATTAACCCCTGTCATCCCTAATTGTATTCATTTTCTAGAGAACTATTGCCTATGTGATAAATATGAGAAAGTCTTGGATCAAGGCACAAAGCATATTGTCTATGATCATGTGAATATCCAAGAGAAGCCTTTTCAATGTAATGAGCTTGGCCCAGTTATTCATGAATCTTCTGAAAGTACAACGTATGACAGAAATGACATTGCAGAAAACAGCAAGAAGGACAGATTTGTTAACCACAGACATGCCTCTGTTGAATCATTAAATATAAACAGAAATGTAAGTGGGAACACTGGAGAAGAACCTTACAATTACAAAGAATGTGTAAACTCTTTAGATTCCTGCTCTGTCATTAGTCAACACCCAATAATCCATACAACAAAAAAAGAACACAAAAATACAGAGTATGATAAATCTTTTGACTCTAAACATAAATTCACGAGGAAACAAACCAATAGTAGAAAGAAGCCATACCAATGCAGGAAATGTGGAAAATGCTTTAAGTTTTACTCAAGCCTCAGTAGACATCAGAGAGCTCATACTAGAGAGAAATCCTATAAATGTACAAAATGTAATAAATCCTTCCTGCATTTGTCCCAACTCAAAGTACATTATAAGATCCATTCCAGAGAAAAACCCTTCAAATGTACAGAATGTGGTAAGTGCTTTTTTCATACATCAGACTTGGAAAGACATTACAGCATCCACACTGGAGAGAATACTTACAAATATAGTGATTGTGGCAAATCCTATATCTGCTGCTCAGATCTTACAAAACATCAGGAAACTCATGGAGGAGAGAGACTTTCCGAATGTAAACAAGGAACTGGGCCATTCTATACATGGTCACACCTTGAATACCAGTTTAGAACCTTTACAGAAGAGAAACTTTACATATGTAATGAATGTGGGAAATCCCTTTATACCTTTTCCGGTCTTAAAAGACATCAGAGAACTCACACAGGTGACAAACCTTATAAATGTGATGAATGTGAGAAGTGCTTTACTGCGAAAGGCAGTCTGAGAACTCATCAGAGAATACATACAGGAGAGAAACCTTACAAATGTGATGAATGTGACAAATCCTTTATCCAGAAAAGCCATTTTAGAATTCATCAGAGAATACATACAGGAGAGAAACTTTACAAATGTAGTGAATGTGAGAATCTCTTTATCTGTGTCTCTCATCTTAGAAGTCATCAGAGAATACATACAGGAGAGAAACCTTACAAATGTAGTGAATGTGAGAAATCTTTTACTCATCTTTCAGACCTTAGAAGACATCAGAAAGTTCATACAGGAGAGAAACCTTACAAGTGTAGTGAATGTGACAAATCCTTTACGAGGAAATTCTATCTTAGAACTCATCAGAGAATACATACAGGAGAAAAGCCTTATAAATGTAGTGAATGTGACAAATTCTTTACACAGGCCTCAGATCTTAGAAGACATCAGAAAATACATACAGGAGAGAAACCTTACCAGTGTAGTGAATGTGACAAATCCTTTACCCAGAAAAGCAGTCTTAGAACTCATCAGAGAATACATACAGGAGAGAAACCTTACAAGTGTAGTGAATGTGACAAATCCTTTATAAGTAAATTCTATCTTATAACTCATCAGAGAATACATACAGGAGAGAAACCTTATAAGTGTAGTGAGTGTGACAAATTCTTTACGAGGAAATTCCATCTTAGAACTCATCAGAGAATACATACAGGTGAGAAACCTTACAAATGTAGTGAATGTAACAAATCTTTTACCAGCAGCTCTGTTCTGAAAAAACATCAGAAAATACATACAGGAGAGAAACTTTACAAATGTAGTGAATGTGACAGATTCTTTTCCGAGAAATGCAATCTTAGAACTCATCAGAGAATTCATTCAGGAGAAAAGCCTTATAAATGTAGTCAATGTGGGAAATCCTTTAATCAGAGAGCCAGCCTTAGAGCACATCAAAACATCCATATAAGAGAAGCCTTGAGAATGTAATGTATGCAGAAAAGTTTTTACTTGCTTCTCAAGTCTAAGAAAACACTTGAAAATTCATAGCTGGGGAGAAAAAATTCCATAGGAAATAATAGGGCATGTGCTGTTTCCAAGCTTTATCCTTAGTCACACTTGAAGCTTCACACTGGAGAATCATTATGAACATGAGAAACTTGTGAAAACCTTTAATAATGTTTGATCTTGGAAAGCAAGAGGTTATGTTGAGGGAAATTCTGATAGTGTGACAATGTATGAAAATTTTCATTAAAACTTTTTACTCGGCCGGGCGGTGGTGGCGCACGCCTTTAATCCCAGCACTCGGGAGGCAGAGCCAGGCGGATCTCCTTGAGTTCGAGGCCAGCCTGGTCTACAAAGCGAGTTCCAGGAAAGGCGCAAAACTACACAGAGAAACCCTGTCTCAAAAAACCAAAAAAAAAAAAAAAAAAACTTTTTACTTGTTCAGCCTCAAATATTTCATACTGCAGAAAACATGCAGAAGCATGAATATGCTGTTTTGTAACAGTTTCCTAGAGACTGAAATGATCCATTCTGAAGGGAAACTGAATAAGGCAGGAAATCCCCAAAACTGACAAGATTCAGTATGCTTAACTCAAATAAAGAAACTCAGACAACTCATACCCCTTAGAAGAGGATTTGACAAATTGAGTCACCAAGACTGGATGCTTTTATCCTGTAGATATGCCTATAGGTACTCTGGGTATCCAATATTCATTAGGTGTATTCCATGCTGGTTGTATTTTAATGATGGCAACTGTCTTTTTGTCCCTTTTGCTCTAGTAAATACTCCGTCCCCATATTCCTGTAAGGGAAATAAAGCTGATTGGTGCAACAAGTTACACTTGGCTCTGTTTTCAGTTTCCAGTTGTGCTGTGGGATGCATTTCTGTATGCTGTGAATATGTGTTGCTCTGATTGATTGATAAGTAAAGCTGCATTGGCTTATGGCAGGGCAGGATGGAGCCAGGTGGAAAAATCCAAGAGCGATATTAGGAGAGGAGAAAGGAGAGGAAGGAGATGCTGTGAACCACCAGCAGTAGAAGTAAGGTGTGAAAATACCAGTAAGCCATGGCTACGTGGCAACTTTTAGATTATTAGAAATGAGTGAATTTAAGATATAAGAGCTAGCTACCACGAAGCCTGAGCCACAGACCAAACAGTTTGTAAATAATATTAAGACTCTGAGTGATTATTTTATAAGTGGCTCCGGGACCACTGGGCTGGACAGAATCAGAGAAACCTTACGGCTACACAGTTGGGGTGAACAAGTGCATATATATGTTGCATCTCTCCAGGAATAGTTTTCATAAAACATGTGCTGAACTGTAACACAAATCTTAAAAGGTCTTATTAATAAAAACAAACCCAGAGCCCGGTATTGGGGTGAACGCTGAAAGATCAGAGAAACAGAACAAGCCACAGCTAACCTCACCTTGCCAATTCCTCAGCTGATCTTGTTTCCTCGAACTGGAAGCCTCTGTGTCCTCATCCAAACAGATCTTAGCTGAACTGCTGCTAACAGCCTAAAAACTTAACCAGGCTCTAGTTCCTGGTCCTCATGCCTTATATACCTTTCTGCTTCCTGCCATCACTTCCTGGGATTAAAGGCATATGCCACCATGCCTGGCTCAGTTTCCAGTGTGGCCTTGAAATCACAGATCCGGATGGATCTCTGCCTCTGGAATGCTAGGATTAAAGATGTGTGTGCCAACTTTTTCTGGTGTGGTATTGTGTTCCCCGAAATACTGTGCACGCTAATAAACTTATCTGGGGTCAGAGAACAGAACAGCCACAATATTAAACATAGAGGATAGGCAGTGGTAGCACACTCCTTTAATCCTAGCATTCCAGAGACAGAGATCTACCTGGATCTCTGTGTGTTCAAGGATACAGCCAAGCATGGTGACTCACGCCTTTAATCCCAGAAAGTGAGCCTTTAATCCCAGGGAGTGATGGCAGAAAGCAGAAAGGTATATAAGGCATGAGGACCAGAAACTAGAAGCTTTTAGCTGGTTAAGCTTTCAGGCTTTGGAGCAACAGTTCAGCTGACATTAATTTGGATAGGGACTCAGAGGCTTCCAGTCTCAGGAAACAGGATCAGCTGAGGAATTGTCGAGGTAAGGAAGCTGTGACTTGTTCTGCTTCTCTGATCTTCCATCATTTGCCCCAATAACTGGCCTCAGGTTTGTTTTTATTAAGACCTGTTAAGATTCTTGCTACATCCTGGCCTTTATATCTAGGGGCTGTTCTGTTCTCTGACCCCAGATAGGTTTATTAGGGTGTATAATATATTGGGGAACACAATATCACCACACTGAACCTATTAATTATTCCTTCAAACATGTAAAGAGGAAATTGATATTAGAACGTCTGTTCTCAACATGAGGGTTGCAACTCCTTTTTGTGTCAACTACCCTTTCTCAAAGGTGACTGTGACCATAGGAAAACATATATTTCTGATGTCTTAGGAACCGAGACATTGTTCCTCCATCAATTTCCAGGCAGGTCGGCCCACATGCAGATATGCCCATATATAAGCAAATGGAATTATATAAAAGTGGTTGCGGCATTAGGAACTTGGAACCACTGTGTTAGAGTGGAGGCACTTGAGCACAACTATACTGCCATGATAGTGCTTAGGTAAGTAAAAAGGGCTCTACACAAACAGAATGTAGAGGGCTTGGGAACCTCAGAAGGCTGTTCTCTTGCATTCAAGGAGGGATGGTGATAGACAGGTTTGCAAAAGAAATGAAAATTCAGCTACAAAACTGTTAGTGACAAATATCATGTAAACGAGGATGTTTCCATGCATGAACTCACTAATTCCATGAACTCACACTAATTCCCCATGTTTCAACCAAACTCCAACCACCCTCAGAAAAATGCTAACCATGAGCAAATACTACAGACCATTGTGATGTCCTTATGTCCTGCTGTACATTGTCACCCTGCTTTGTAAATTCCAGGAAGTGACTTTAAACTCATTTTGTTAAATCCTTTACACGATGCTAATATTGAAGACATCCCAGAATATTCATCATGAAACAAAACTCAATAAATTGCTTTGCTGAGGACATATTTTCAGCTTGATTTCATGTGTTATTTCATCCATACATCTTGAAACTATGAAGCTTTAAAGAGATAATCTATAAAAAAGACAAATTGTACACATTCATAGACACCTTAGAAATCCTCAAAAGTGTGCTGGAAAATCAATTTGAAATGCTGAGAATATATGAAAATTATTTAGTCTTAACTCCAAAGCATTATATTAGAATATTGATACTAAAACTAGAAAGACTCAGAAATTTTGGACCTTAGGAAAGGTAGTATGTTACACTGAACAAATCCATATCATTGTGTAATTTCTTCAGATTTCAATAGAAAAGAGTCATTCATGGGAAAATATTGTTTGAGAATATTTTGGTGTTCTCAGAAGTGGATTTTGTTGAAACATGAAATTACATCTAGCTGGACAGACTGAGGATTCAGATTTCAGGTGTTTGATGGATTGAAGCCCTTCTGCTTGATTACCTGTAGATCATTATCCTAATTCACCACAGATTTTCAGGATCATTTTAAATTGTAAACTTGTGCAAAGTGAAAACCTCTCATTTTGTACCCCTTACACTATATTGTTTTCTTCATTTTGTAGCCACTTATATACACTCCGTGTCTATGGTGGCAACAAGCATGAGGCAAGGCTGAATGAAATGCATCAGGTACACAGTTGTGCATACCTCAACCTCTTTCAGTAAACTTTAGATCATATGAGATCATATTAAAAGAAAAGGATTCTTTTGATTTATCATATAGTTGCCAGTATATTTACAGAAGAATAATCTGGGAGAGGATTTGCATTATCTCTTTTAGACAAATTGGTGTGAATCCTCTACTTGAAGCTCCCTGTCCCTTCCATCCTTTGGTTGTCTGTTCCATGAGTTTTAATCTGTGCTTGCCTGAAGGCTGTCTTGTGAATCTACCCTTGTGTGCCTGTGTACTATGTATATGTCTGTCTATTCATAACAAAGTATTTTGCTCTGTCTTTATTGAATACCATAGAAAGCATCATGTGGGACAGGCTTGAGAAATCCTTACCATATATTAAATCCCCTGGAACTAGAATTAAGTGAGTAATGAAAACTGGTAATTATTAGCATGTTCATATGCAAACATGTGACACTATAGAAGGTGAGCATAACATGACACTAAAGCCAAGGAAGACATTAAACAGAACTTAAAATAAGCTGTTTTTATGTTAGAAATGGGTCTGCATGTCTCAAAATAATGGCAAGGTTAAAAAAAAAAAATCTGTGGGAGCAAGCATAGCTGTGCCAAGTCCAACATGCAAACACATTCACCAAGGGTCCCACTAGGACTTCATTCCTAAAAGGAAAGAGGGTAGTGTATGAGTGGTTAGAGCTCACCTCATATACTTATGACAATGTTTAAGTTAAAGCAGCACAGTTGACAACCTGAGCACAATTTTGAGCAGCAAATGAAACCCTTATTGAACATTTTGACCTCAAAACTGTTGTTGACCCTGGAGAAATGTGAAATTCTCCCAAGTAGCTTCTTTACATTTTTTGAAGTGGAATTGTGTCTTATTTCACCTTTTGACAGTAAAGACAGTAGATTCTGTTTACATTTTCCACACTTATTTTTACATTTTAAAATGTCTGGTGAATTCTAGGAGTGGTGGTTCAAGTCTGGAGGCAGAGGCAAATGAATCTCTGTGAGTCAAGACCAGCTTGGCATACATAGTGAGTTCCAGGCAAGCCAGGGATAGTCAGTGAGACCCTGCCTTAGGAAAAAACAAAATCTAAGACCTGGAGAGTTGGCTCAGTGATTAAAGTAGTGGCTGCTCTTTCAGAGGATACAGGTTCTATTCCCAGAACCCACATGACAGCTCACAACCATCTCTAAATCCAGTCCAGGGGATCTGTTGATCTCTTCTGATATCTGAGTACTGCATATGGATGATCCAAAGACATATGTGTAGATAAAACACCCAAACACACAAAATAAAAATAAATAAATGATTTTATAATGAGCCCAATAGAACCGTCTATGGTGATGTTATCACTCAATGAGTAACATGTACAAAGAGAAAAAGAAGTATATTTTATTTATCTGGCTTTAGCAATGAATCTGAGTTCAGTGCAATCTTGGTTTTACAGTGACTAGCCTAACATACTGCGACCTGCTACCTTGGTTTTTAATGTTACTAATGGTTTCTTCTTCAGTCCTGGGGGTCAACTCCAGGGAACCACACATACTAGGCCAGTGCTTTTGACCCATCTACCTCACTAGTCCTGTTAGCAATTGTTGAAGCCTTTGTCCACAAACACAATCTGCCTGCCTTCTGTATCTACAATGGAAGCACCAACCTATGTATCTCTGTAATCAGCAGAAAGAATAGAACACACAGGGAAGGCTGACAACCATCCCTTATATACTTCCCATAAAATAAGGCTACAGAGTGGAAATGGGGAAAGCTTCCTGGAGGATGGAATCAACATTGGAACATGCAAATTGTTCTGCAAAAAGGGAATGGGGCCATGCTGGAGAGATTGCTCAGTGGCTAAGAGTACTTGTGGCTTTTAACCAAGGATCTAGGTTCATTTCACAGTACCCTTATGGTGGCTCATAGCTGCTTGTGACTTCAGATCTAGGTCTCCAATTCCTTTTTATGACCTCCAGGTGGACCAGGCATGCATGTGGTGCATAAACATACAGACAAAAATACACATAAAAAACTTAAAATGAAGGGAATGGGAAGAATTATTGAGGCAAGTGAAGTAAGATAAGGGACAAGGAATTCAGGACAGGTAAACCAT